GTTGGAACAATCTCTTTTGTACCAATAATGAAGATGATGAAGAAGACGATGTCCCCTTAAGCGTAATTAGAGAACGTTTACGATCCAATAATGATAATGTTATTAGTGTGTCATTGGATGTTGTTGATTTATTGAAAACAGTGAATCCCAACATTGTTTGTACTCCTGCTGATATTAATTTATGGAACGAAGATAAGCAGACGAATGATGCTGATAAGGAGGAGGATATGGACAGTGAGGATGATGAGAACGATCCCATTGAAGTCAGAAGTGTAGTGACTGACGCGCAAGCTATACAAGTTTTTAACCACGCTTTAGATTGGGCTGAAAGAAAACAAGTTTCATACACGGATATTTTAGTTCTTCGTAAATTACGGGCGCAGGCATTGAAAGACAATGCTAAGCGCAAATTTACGCAGACAAAAATTGTTAATTATTTTTCTTCTAATTAAAAAAATGCTTATCGCTGTTAGAATATTTGTTTATTTTGTTATAAATAGTATGTATTAAACGTTTCTTTTAATAAATCAAATATTATATAAATCACGTTCGCTAATGTAAACATTTCGATAATGTGAACCACACTTGGATTAAATTAGTTTACATTATCGAGCGTCTGCTGTATTATTGCATGAGCATTTTCGTCTGCATCAATGTGAAGATTATGCGAGTTAATGGGTCCATCCCTTCCAAATCCTGCTTCGTTCGAAAATAATATTATCGAAGTAAAACCATTGTCGTGGTTAAACGTCCTTAAGAGTCATGTACAAAATTCTACCCTTGCGGGTTCATCATGCGCGCTTAAACTATGTACTCTTTGCAGATGGTATGGATGGAGCAGTTGCATTTGAAAGATGAAACATTTGGAAACTTGAAATTCTCGAGGTACATTCCTAACCCCAACTGTAGGATTTTCAAAGACATCAAATTCACGTACGGTTCTGGGCCCCGCTAAAAATCGATAATAACATTGTAACTTTGACACCCTGTATCTCGAAAACTATCAACTTTTGGTCTAAGGTATGATGATTAGGTCAATTCACATATTTTGGTCTGTCGTATCTTCAGTTTCGAGATGTCCCAACCTATCGCAGACATATATTATATAACATATAAAATGCAACACCCATAATTGTTTATTTAATTCTGATAAAAGCTTGTAAACATATTTGCTATCATGAAGTATACGCCGATAAAATATTAAAGGCATTCCGAGCCGTACTTTTTCGTAAACGCGCTTTTTTATCATATCAGGATCCGAACAATATGAACTTGTTGTTTCATTGCATTATCCACTTTCAGAGTTAGATTGGGGTGTATAATCGGGTTACGTGAAGCCGGATTTTCTTTAGAGAAATCGCTAATCGGGTGGACAGAAACGAAGCTACTGTAATGAGATGTTGCCGAGCGTGGTTCCAAGAAGGCCGAAACCGACGAGTTCGAGGTACTGGACGTCAAAGACGAACAACAGAGTGACATTTGTGGCAACTGACACTTAAAGATCGATTTTCCTCATTAAGGGCAGTTGCGAACCAGTGGTCGGAAGGGCAATAACAATGAGGACAGTTTATCGCCGAATATGGCCTTTTTGACTGTTTTCGTACCGTCCCCATCATGTACTACCTCTGACCTCACAGCATCGTCGGCAACGATTGGAATGCAATAGGGAGAGACATAAATCGAATATGGAATGAAACTCAGTCGTGTTCAGCGATGAGTCCAAATTCTGTTTGGGCACACTTGATGGCCGTGCAAGAGTATGGATTGGGCGAGATATTCCATCGAAAGGCACATTTATCGCTTTGTGGGTGTTAGTGTATGGAGCGCCATTGCTAACGGCAGCAGGTTACGATTAGTGTTCATTCGATGTAGCATGACTGCCCAGCGCTATATCCACGAAGTTTTACAATCACATCCGTTTACATTTTTCGGAACATTGCAAGATCCACTTTTTTAGCAGGACAATGCGCGACCTCATGTCGCACGTATTACGAGTAGTTTAGACTTTTTAGAAGCGTCCTGAATAAATCTGCTTCAGTGGCCTCTCCAGATCCCTCCCCCATCGAATATGCAAGGGACATGATAGACAGACATAATAGATTTCAGGAAGCCAAATTCAGATAGCATGAGATACAATACACCAAAAAGACATCAATCACATAATCCAATCAATGCCGCGACCACTTAACGAATGTGCGGCGAACATAGGAGCTTCAACACATTAATAACATCAAGGCGAAATATCTCAGCTATTTTTCGAAATTTCGCATTAATATTTGAATCACTTTCTATTTATCAGTAGACCTAAAACTTGTAAAAGTATGCTCAAAATTACAGCGCTCCTAGTCGGTGTTGCATTTTCTATGTCATTTAGTTTATTTGCCAATACATTTTTTATGGACCAAAGGTGAGTTTCAATTGAACAAACCTCGTATAAGGGGAAACGTATATAAGCATGTTGAAACATGTCCTCAAATTGCGGAGAGAGTGGCTTTGGACACCCACGATGAACAACGAAGCGGGTGGCCTTCGATCTCCGAGGAAGTTGTGGCGAAGAATGAGCAAATTTCGCTCGAAGATCTGCGAATCACGATTCCAGAACAGCCGGTTGAAATTCCTGAGGCAACTACCAAGTTTTTGAATGGGCTAGCGGCGAACTTCCTTAAGGCGAGAGTGCAAATGTGGATTGATGACGACTATGAAGAAAAATAGCTTAAAGACCGACGTGTCTAATGGTGAATCCGTTTTTCAAATGAAAAATGCCTGATACTTGAAAAAAATGTGGGAACCTTGTTTTTGAAATAACCCTCGTAATTAACAGAGATTTGTGTCTGCCATCTGTGCTACACGAGCGGCTTTTATCGAAGCTGAAATAGGTTTTAAGCCGATACAGTTAAAAAATTCATGTTTTTAAAGGGGCATTTGTAGTTAACATTTTCACTTTAACACCGTTTCAATTTCCTCATGAGTTCCAATGGATGATCTTTTTTTATGGAAGTTGGCTAGTATTTATTTCTTTCAGCCTTTATAACTAACAGCATTTGTCATCTTTTTTCGTAACTTCGGGTGTTATTTAAGTACGTGGACAAACGTCAGAAGTATCAAACGTTTTTTTTAAAACCAATTTCCTTAATGTATTAATGAACTTTCAGTCGACTTTGTTCAAATTTAGCAGTGGTATTAAGGGTAATAAGAAGCCAAATTAGCCCCAATTAGATTGAAATTATTAAATCCGGTGGGGTCCCGAAAAACATCGTAACCATCATCTTAGAAAAAAAATTTGTGCGCCCTGACTTTTTTCAATTGTTCTAAGCGGCTAAGAATACAACTTATTGGGTCTTGGGTTTCTTTCATATTATCTCACTTCGTTTGCGAGATAAAACATAAAAAGCACTTTATTGCATGTTTTTGATAATTAAGATACACGAAAGTCGTCTTTTGAATGTTACTGCTCAGATTATACCTGCTGTCGATAAAACAAATAAACATAAAATATTTACATAGCGCTGGAAATTAAAAAAAAAATAGACCGGGAAAACGTTTTTTTTTTTAAAACTAAGTACACTTAAACTTTTGTTTCAATAAAAACATTTATAGTTATAATAGTTGCTGAAAATGCCCTCATCGCAAGCATTAGCTCGGCTTAATATCAATTGTCGAAGTCGTAAATAAAATACGAGATAGAAATTTCATAAACCTGTTGTTGCAAAAGCAAAGTACAATAAACGACTGGCTGTAGAAAATTATTATTAATAATTTTTAGTGATTGGGCCTTGCAACAGCTTTTATCGAAAAATTGTGTTGAGCGATGAGGCTCACTTTTGGTTAAATGGATATGTTAACAAGCAAAATTGCCGCATCTGGTGTGATAAGGCTATACAAGAATTGCCCAAACAATACGGACAACGACGAACGATATCGATCCATGATGCGTAACTTTTTATTGTCCAAATTGGATGATCTGATTTGGTTGACATGTGGTTTCAACAAGACGGCGTCACATGCCACACAGCACGTGAAACAATGGACATTTAAAAAAGTAAATGACAAGAACCAGTTTATCGATTCCAATATGGATTTTGTAAAGATAATGCATTTTTAGCTGTTTTATTCAGTATTTCAAAAAAAGGCTCTTAAAAAATCACCCGTTACAATTATTTACGAGAATCTGTTAAACTCTTAAAAAAGCACCTTAAGAGGATGCTCTTATTTAACCCTTTCTACGGCATAGATGAGTTCCTTGTGGTTTTGAACGACCTGAAATAATTCAATTGTAAGGAGGTCCATTAACTTGGCATTCACATGCATGATTTAAATTTTCTATATTCAGTTTGTTTGTTGTTCTTTTAGTTTATTTTTTATTTCATCTTTACTTTTTGAAATATTCCGTGTTACACGTGACGTGATCCTCTCTATACTTATGTACAGTGTTCGGACCTAATAAAAGAATTTGAATATGATGTTTTCTTATGTTAAACCAAGTGATATACATATAAAGAAACTCAAAAGGCAAAATAGTTGTATTTTTAGCTGCTTAATCCGAAAAAATAGAATGGAAAAAAGTCAGTGACGCATAAATTTTTTGTCAAAGATATCGATTAAGGTGTTTTCCGGGACGCCACTGGACTTAATAATTTCAATCAACTACTCTTAATGCCACCGCTAAATTATCGATATTCAGGGAAAAACGATTTTTCAAAAAGTTTAACACCCTGTATCTGAAAATGAAGAATTTCTGGACCTATGTTTTCTATAAACTTTTCAACTTAAAATTACTCATATAATCACCACCTGAAGTTTGGCCACGTGCTTAAATAACACATTCTATAACCTTCTCTTTACGGTGGTGTTCCGACTTATTTCTTCTATCTCATTCATTCACTTACACCTAGTTCGATAGGATCATCGGGATCCTCTAATACCAGTGAAAGAGTTTTTCAAGGAATAATGAACTAGTTCACTTAATTCAATCGTAAAAAACTGTTCAATGAAACTAGTTCGTTCGCAAACTGGTACGTAGGCTTATTTTCGCGCAGGCACGACTTTCAATTATATGGAATATGTTAATCAATGACTACATAACAAGATCTTAGACTATCTACCTCATATAACAGCCAATTTCTGTCTCCGTTCGTGACGTCGTCGTACGAATAGCGTGTCCTCACAAGCACCAGGGGCAGCTGGTCAGACCCGCCTCGTTATTGGGCGGTGGTCATCGGCCCCCGGTGGGCGTGTCTTCTTGGCTCCGCCTACGCGCTCCGACCATCGAATTTCTCCGCTCCGCCCCCTCGTTGTCGTCGTCCTCGCTGAGCCGCGAAGAGGAGTCGTCCGCGTTGCAGAGTCGACACCAGCTGCATGCGATACACGGCGCAGCTAACAACAGGAGCGGCGAAGAACAGAACGGAGGCGCGGGAGTGACCGAGCTTGTTTTTGCACGGGCTGCGGTCGTAGTGCCGCAGAAGGAAGTCGTCCTGTAAAAATACGAGAGACATTGTAATAAACTGTTTTAACCAAATTCAAATATCGAATGCTTCGGGCGGAAAGAGTTATCGAGTTGCGGTATTCGGGAGGTTCTTCAACAACTCTTTGAGAAAACGTACAGGGTTCGATCGGTATATTTCTTTTATTTATCAATTGATACAGGGTGAGCAAAAGTAAGTCATGTTTTTTTTAGCAAAGTTTGGGGCTATGTCATTCCAATAGTTCGTAATAAGTAATAAAATGTTGAAAAGCTACAAACGTTTTGAAATTACTCTTTTTAAATGTATCATTTTCTTTTTTTTTTACTAACTTATTCGATAAAAAATGCAATTTCCTGTAAAAAATCTCCTAGTAATGAAATGTGCAAATTATGTAAATAATATCTCTATCTAACAAGCTTTCATTTGAGGTAGTAAGCGTTCAATTATCTGAAGTACATGCAGAGAAACAACAATGACACCCACAGAGGCTGGATTTTTAAGGAATTTGTATTACCCGTTTGAACAAGTCGTTACTGTCCTCAAAGGACTCGCATGGCATGATTGTTTTATGGCATCGGCTCGAAGAGGAAGCGAGCGAGAAGAGCTGACTTAGTGGAGGAGTGAGAGATAGAGAGAGAGCTGTTATTATTCATCATTGTAGTTACACCATCGCCGCACGCCGAGTGAGAATTAGGTTTAGCTGGTATCAACTACTGCGTACGCGCACACGTTTTACGCACGATTATTATTTTCGAGTATCCCAGTTCATTTCGAGTAGTTTCTTTATCATCACGGCAGACGCAGAAGATCCGCCAGGACCTCGATATAGCGAGCACGGGCAAACTTTTACAAATGAAGAATACGCAGACATAATGTTCTGTTATGGAGTTTGTAACGGCGATTCTGCAGCTGCCCGCCGTGAATATCGGCAACGTTTCCCGAATCGCCGAACACCTCATGTTACTGTGTTTGACTCTGTGTATCGGCGCATCCGCCAAACCGGACGTGTTCAAAGCCAACATAGTGATGCTGGTCGACCCCGAGTCTATCCTCCTGAAAATGAAGAGGAAATCCTTCGTGTGTTTAAGGAAGACCCTACTACGTCTACGCGCATTGTGGCTGCTCAGTTGGGTATATCACAATACAAAGTATGGTTTACTGTGCATACTGCAAGATTATACCCTTATCACTACACGCCTGTGCATGTGATTGAAGAGGGCGATCCTGCAAAACGATTAGATTTCGGCAGGTAGATGTTACATACAGATACAGAAGATCCAGACTATTTTAAGAAAATTCTGTGGACCGATGAATCGAAGTTTGATAAGGACGGGATCACTAACTACCATAATGCTCATTACTGGGCTGATAAAGAAGCTTTAAACCCCCGAAAAATAAGACCGACGGGGTCTCAGAGCCGGTTTTCAGTCAATGTGTGGATGGGCATCATTGATGGATATTTAATTGGACCTTATTTTCTGCCCGCCAATTGAAATGGAGAAGTGTATGAAGAGTTCTTGAAAAATCACTTAATTAATGGAAGACGTCCGATTGGCGACGAGACAAAATATGCGGTTCCGACACGACGGCTGTCCCGCACACTACAGTAGATTAGTACGGGCGTATTTAGACTCTAAATTTCCAAATCAATGGATTGGCAGAGGCGGGCCCATTGCCTGGCCAGCAATAAGCTCAGGTCTCACACCGATGGATTACTATATGTAGAGACATATGAAAAGCCTGGTGTACGATGGTTTTCCCGTATCAACGCGCCATTAATTAATCACAAGGATAATCAGTGCAGCTGACCAAATAAAAAGCCGCTTACCAAAAATGAATTACGTAAGAGAATGCGGGCGTGTATTCGTAACAGGGGATTACAATTTGACCAGAATTTGTAAAATACTAAAAAAAATGTAATTAAATAAAACTGTAATTAAAATAAAAACCGTTTATTTATCCTACGTAATTATCGTTCGTACAACTTTACTAATTTTTTTTTAATTTTATGTCTTCGTACTTGAGTTAGTTGGAACTTTTATATCTCAAATGAAAGCTTGTTAGATATAGATATTATTTACATAATTTGCACATTTTACTACTAGGAGATTTTTTACAGAAAATTGTATTTTTATCGAATAAGTTAGTAAAAAAATAAGAAAATCATACATTTCAAAAGCGTAATTTTAAAACTTTTGTAAGTTTTCCACATTATATCACTTATTATGAACTATTGGAATGTCGGCTATGCAACGATAACAAAAAACTCAAAATCAAACATGAATTTTTTTTGTATTTCAAATTTAACCGTCTGAAATCGGAATAAAAAATAAAAAAAATAAAATTCAAATAACTCAAAAACGGTTAACTTCTGGATAGGACATTATAGGACAAAACCGGTTACTTTTGACCTAATCTATCGCCCCTTAACAGGAATACGTGACATTACAAGTCACCCTATTATATTTGTTATTTTACAATAATAAAAACACTTCATTATTATTATTATTATTGTATTATGTAATTTAGACAGAATTTATAAATTGTACAATGCAATTAAACAACAAATCCAAGTTACTACTTTCAATATAGGGTGTATTCCAGTGGCGTAACAACAAAAGCATTTTTCGGTTTGTTAAGAAGTGCTATTAATTTAAAAAAAAATATATATTTTTCAAAATACTATGATGTTGGCCAACACTGCTTTCCATATTTTATCTATATTTTTTTAACTTTCATTCAGCATTGGCGTACGCGTCTTCAGTGAAGATGTTTTCCAGGTAATAGACTCTATTAAACTTTTAAACTACATCAAAGAATTTATTGATTAACATTAACAAAATGTAACATTTTAGAAAACAAAAATCTGAAGACCAGTTAAATACCTAAATTATTTATTCATGACAAAAACGAACTTTTTACAAACAGCAACAGTTATTTTAAACAATATTGATAGTACCTTGTAGGGTCACCCATCGATCACAGCCTACGATACTTTCCAGAAGGTAACAAATAAATTCTCGGGATACATTTTCCCACTCTTCCTGAATAGCCCCAGACAGCTCCTCCATTGTTGAGGAGCATTTTGTCTTGATGCTCAATGATGTTTAGCTAGATCATTCACTAAAGGACCTTGATCTTATACAATTCTCTCGGTCTTTTTGAAAAAATAAAATTATACTATTAAGTCTACAGTCAATATTATTGTTATTGAGCAATTGCATGTTTGAGGTGTAGGTAGTGAGGATGAAAGCGGAGAAAAGTCATAGAAATGTCCCGAAAACCATTTATTGCGGGAAGTTAAAAATTCGATAATCTAAGTTATAGCCAACTTTCGAAAAATATAAGTTCTCTTTTTTTAGGATATTCCAAAGATCAAAAAGATGCATACAGGTAAAAAAATTGACAAGATCTGAAATTGGGGATCCGACAAGGAGTTGGTGAAGAACCTCCCGAATAGCGCAACTCGATATCTCTTTCCGTTCCGAAAATTTCGGATTTGAATTTGGGTAGGATTTTCCATGTTATAAAGCAATTGTCCACCAGTTTAGATGTAAGAGTCAAACAAAAAATGGCGTCAAGTAGATTGACTGTATACTTCATACGCCTTCTTTGGAGGTTTCGGAGAAAAATGATGTGTTACGTCGTTCCAAAAGGCGGAATGAAATCGTGACTAGGGACGCTCACTTAGGTACGCCGAATCTGTATAAGATAATTTATATATTACATATTTATCTTTCCTTGACATATGTAGGAAAAATACAGGGTTGAGTCATTTATTTTAACTGTTTTGTAGGACTCGTCAAAAGAAGTTTAAATACCAACAATCGCCTATATAAAAGTTGCATGTTCAATTATATTCTGGAAAAAGTTGAACACCTTGTAACTAAAAATTGGTGAAACCTCCACAGACAGCTAACCGAAAAAAATAGCCGTAAAAATCATTATGTGTCTAGTATTAAAAAAAAAGCTTATAAAAAATTCAATCCAAACTTGCACAAATATACAGCGTGAAATTTTTGAGGAAAACTACAATTTGCGTTTTTGACCACCGTGTATGAGCAAAAATTAAAATTCGAAAAAGTAACAAATAAGATAAAAGCTGAGGTGTGTAAGTTTTGTTTGATACAAAATTCATCACTCCAAATTTCAAAATGGCGGATTGAGGGGTTGCCGAAACGGACGGTTTTTCTGGACAAAACACCTTACATCTCAGTAGCTAATTACTAAAACTCCATACTATGTTATATCAATCTTCTTCGTTTGAATTGGTTTATCCAAATAAGCAATAAAATTTGAGGCATTCCATTTAAAAAATCGCAACTTTGAGATGTAGGTCAAAGTTGGGACACCCTGTATAATTGCCAATATTTTAGAAATGTGCCCTCAAATGTCATGTATAACATGCCATAAATAGATTTTCCGAAAATGTATTTTTTTATGAGTAATATTCCGTCCACACATGGATAGGCCACCCTGTATATAATAATAATAATAATATTTATTCTCTCATTAAACAGTATAGACAAAGTTTACAAACAAAAAAGCCTTAATAGGATAAAGGGTTACATCAGCTTGCCCCTTAAAGAAGCAGCTGCTAGAGAAAAAAAAATACAAACAAATTTAAACAATTCTATAGTAATGCAAATGGCCATTAAGACAATGATAATTAATAATGTTTTAATCTTAATTTAAATATTCCTGATATTTTACAAACTGTTGAAAAATCATCTTCTACCAAATCACTTAGAAAATTTTATTGTATTGAACAATGAGTGCCACAATTATTCTACTAGAGGAAGTAGGGAAATGGAAACTTAGAGTAAGAGAAAGCGAGGGGAAAGAGAAGAAGAGAAAAGGGAGAGCACGAGATGTGTTTTCTATGATATCTGAGACAGTGAATCACTTTTAAGGTTTCTCTTAAATGAAGCTACCGAGAGAAAAATCTTTAATTTTGAATTTATTTAGCAAAAAGGCAATTTGATATGAGAATGATTTCTTAAATGATT